ACATATTCCACTATTGCGAGTGTCACTTATCGCGGTAGGTTTCGCTGCGAGATATAAACAAACTGTTTCCAAAACAAACTCATTCGCCACATTTTTGTTGGAATGTAAACAAATTAGGATTTGGTATTGTCCAATGTTCAATTGTTTAAACCCCGCGATCGAAGAATGCAATAAATTTCGTTGAGCATTATTGTCTTAAAATCTAATTTGAATCATATTGGATTTTTCTGAGATTTCTTAAATCGCACCGAATATAAATGTTTATCGAAAGGATCATCGAATGATTGAATGCGAGTGTGAAATTCATGCTTAATTGACGTATGATAATGAATTGAGTGCCGACTAGCAACTGAGCTATTCGTTGATATTCCCGAAAAATGCTACAGTTCAGCTAAAATCGAATTAGGATTGGATTCTATTACGAATTTGGGCCAATAGAGTATGCAAATAGAGAGAATTCTGTGGCTTGCACAAACAATTGAAATGACATAGAACCACTCTGAACCATTCATTCATCTATCGCGTATCATTATCCAACCAACAATGAGAAAGAGCCGTATGAAAGGAGCGTGTTTTTGTTTGCGATCGAAAATACTTGTAATGTGTAATGATTGAAGAAATGAAACCGATAGACAAATAATATTTAGGAATCAACTAAAACCAAATATTTTGATATGTGGAATTTTGAACGCTATGAAACTGCGATATTATCCAAAAATCGTACGAACTTGATCAGAACGCAACGTAAAAAATTTCGTTGATATAAGACATTTGTCAAAAACAGCTTTTGTTTCATTTGATGGCTAAGAAGATATTGCTGCGAAAAAAAAACTCCGAAATAAAAGTCAACACTCTTCTCTTTTCCTGTTGCTATTTGAATTTATTTGTGTTTTATTTGAATCGAAAATGTAGTTTAAGTCTAAGGTGGTAATCATGGAGTATCATAATGCAAAAAATTATAATGTCATTTGGATATGATTTCAAATTCATGAAATAAAGTCTCTGAAATGCATCAAGCTATGAATTCGATCAATTTTACGAATCATGAAATATTTCAATTCGGCTACGTTTTATTAAATCTGTGGGATGTGCGACTTAAATTTTCTTCAAACGGTGAACCGTCTTCATGTGTTGATTGGCATTACCTGTTGTGGTAAAGATTGCTGCACACATCTCGCATTGAATCCGCACTCCGGTGTGATCTTTTCGCATGTGAATATTCAAACATTGTTTGTCTCGGCGATGCTCTTTGCACAAATGGCATTGATACTGACGGTCGCCACAGCTATCTTTATGAACCTCTTTTTCATCTTCGGTTGCGTATCCTCCGAAGCACTTGAAGCATTGGAAAGGGAATTGGTCATTGTGTGCTGATGACAAATGCTGTTTTAATGTAATCTGTTGGACGAATTGTTTGCTGCAAATTTCACATTCGATCGATCTTTTGGCTCCGTGTTTTGATTGCATGTGCCGCTTCAAATGACTCTTTTGAACAGTTTTGTAATGACACTGATTACATGCAAATGGACTTCGTTGGCAGCGCGTTTCGTGTGATTGCTTATCTTCTGGTGCGGCGAATCGTCGGCCACATTTCGAACAAGCATTCGGTAGTTCAACTTTGTGAGTCATTGAATGCCTATGAAGATCAAAGTTGGTTGCAAACGACTTGAAACAAATTGAGCACACGAACGGCTTTTCCCCGGTGTGGGTCCGCATATGTCTTATCAAATGTGATTTGTTGATTGTTCTATATCCGCAAGTGTCGCATTCGAATTGCTGGGGATTACATAGCCTTCCGTGATCGATTTTGTCTGATTCGCGCTCAAATCCTTGATAACATTTCGAACAACGGAATTGGCCGTGCGTTTTCTTATGACTGTTCAAATCATCTTTTCGTGCAAATGACTTCGAACAAACATCACACTGAAACGGCTTTTCTCCAGTGTGAATTCGCAAGTGTCTTTTGAGGTTAGACTTGTCGCTTGCCAAATGATTGCATACATGGCATTTGTGCTTCTTCTGCTTTTTGGCCGCTTGATTTCTGGGAATTGTTCGTTTGCTTTGTCTTTTGGAGCTTGCATTCCGTGTCTTTCCGCTGCAGACTGGTTTCGGTTGTTGCCCATCGATTGCGTCACCCATTGGATCTTCGTTGCCAGCATCATTGGCAGTGCTTTTATCCGATCGTTCACAAGGTGCCGAGTTCTTTTCTTTGCCCGTCTCTTCTTCTTCACATTTGATTTCATCTTTTACTTCATCGAAGTCATTGCCAAAGTCAAACGGTCCTTCGTAATTCACACGATATCTTCCATCAACTCTCGGATGTTGTACGTCAATGACGTTGTTGGGCTCTTCCTTAATACCAGGCTCTTGCTTGACTTCAACCTTTACCGACTTTGACTTGCGCTTGCATCCTCTACCAATGTTGAACGGGTTCATTTCTTGTTGGATTCAGAAAAACATTATTTTAAAATCAAATATTGAAAACTTATTAATGAGGAAATGTGATTCGATTAAATGCAAACCACGCGTGTTTGATGTATCTATGCAAAGAAAAAGTCCGCACGAAATGTGCACTCAGCGCAAATGCTCATAAGTTGGGTTATGTGTAACCAATTTTCATGAGCATCTTGCGCTTTTCATGATTTTTCACTTTTTCGACCGAATCACAAAATTTTATACTCGAAAAATGGCATCGAAACGAATAAAAAATGCAAAATATTCAACACTTACGTTTGTCGTCGATTTTTTTTCTACTGAAAATATTTCTTCCACGTTTCGCTCAAGATGTCTGCTTAACTCGGTGGCTGACGAAAGAATCTGGAACAATGTACAACGTAAGGCCACAGCATCAAAGCTGAAATTCACACACTTGCTATTGTGCTGTTTGTGTTGGTGTGTTTCGTCAAGTTTTCAACGACTCCCAGTGTATACACTTCATTTCGATCAGTAGCTGTCAATTGAGCAATTTCAGAAAAATCGGTTGAGCTTTTGTTGCCTCAATTCTGCAAACTCATTCGTTGTGCTGTTCTTGTCAAAATGTAAACCAATTAGTATAGCAGAATTACACATGTCTCGCGAACGCAACAAATACTTATTCAAACTGTTGCTCATCAAATGAATTTAAGTTAAAACTCAATTAAAGATACATGGAAATATATATCACAGTCGACTAATGATATCGTTTACTAATATTTCTGAAGAATGTCATGGTTTCGCAAAATAAAATCGAATTGAGGCTGACGAGATTGAATACATTATGCTTTTATGGGTAAGGTATTTTAATTGATTTCATTGTGGCTCGTGTAAACAAATGGAATCGCATCTAAGTCATTCATTCCATCTATGTATTATTGTTATTCAATCGATGGAATGAAGGAGATTCGCATTAGAAGAGCGTGTTTTTGCTTGTAATCGAAAATATTCGAAGTCTGGGGTTTGAAATTTCATGAAGTGTCGACAGGAAATCAAGCAAATGGACACAAATTTAAACCCCGATTCAAATCGAATACATATACGAGTAATCGGAATTATGGACGACATACTTTGAAGCTGAAACTTTTTAATGAAAACTTACAAACTTGATTCGCAGTGCAGAGTTGACTGTACCAAGATAGCATATTTTCAAAAGGCATTTGTTTCTTTCGTTAGCCAAAAGAATTGCTGCAAAAATACACACAGAAAAGAATCCCCGGAAATTTTAGGTGTTCGCCGTAAAATTTGACATTTATATATAAATTTCTATATACATTTTACCGGCAACACTTCAATTTTCCGGGCGATGACATAATTTCGAACATTTTATCAAATAATATATATATTTTACCGCTTGAAATGACAGATGGCGCTAATTTCTGTTGAAATATTTGAAATTATGTCATCGCCCGGAAAATTCAAGTGTTGCCGGTAAAATGTATATAGAAATGTATATATAAATGTCAAATTTTACGGCTAACACCTAAAATTTCCGGGGATTCTTTTCTGTGTGTAAACCAAGAAATTAAAAGCCACATTCTTCTTCCTCTCTTTCTTTTTATTTCGGTTTCCATATATTTCGAATTTGTTTCATTTAAAATGGGAGCATAAAGTTCAAACGATAGTTATGAATTTTTAAGTTGGAAGATTATATCAATTCACGAAGGAAGTGATAACGAAACATCAGAAAAATCGAATATTCCATTTTAACTGGAATTTTTGAAACGAACATCGTATTCGTAATATTTGACTGGTAACAAAAAAAAGTTCGACCGCTAAAGTATAGAAGAAGTAAAGTAACAAGTAATGTGAGTGAGATCTTTGTGGGTACATGATTTTTTACCCTAGAACGGATATCCGTTTTCCGTTTCCGTACGGAATACGCAAACTACAATTTCTAAAATATTACTCAAAAAACGTTCAAAATTCACTCCATTAGTTGGAGGCAAGATTTTTTTGGTGCCTTCAGGATTTCAAATTTTGAAATATTATCTGAAACAGAAAAAAATGGAGCCGCATACGGAATATATGATTCCATGTGTTGTTGTGTCGTATTCGGGTGGCAGACGTTTAATAATCTTGGGATTTAAACGTTGTTAACACGTGCATATGTTCTCCTCTGTTATCGGCGAGCGATCGAAGATTATTAAACTATGGAGTCACTTAAGCGGCTCCCAATATTAAATCTGACCATGGCGAACTCGTGAAAACGTTTGTATGCGTCAAATAGCATAAAAGAGCGATACGGCCCGATTTTTCGAAAAATGATTAATTAGTCAAATTAATCAAAATTGATTTACTTAATCATGATTACAGAATGATTAAGATTGACTTGACCGGTTAATCATTTCACCAATGATTAATTGATCACTCACTTAATCGCAATTCGCGCACGCGTAGGTTCATGTTCATGAAACACATCATGTGGCAATGTTTCAAGCTCAACATGAGGCTCATCGATCGATCAATTTTTGGAAAAATCGCAAAAAAAAGATTTTCGAGTGTCGACTGTCATTAAACCTACCAAAATTGATCTGGGGCCCGTTGCACCGTACAGTTACAATAATTGTAAACTTGTAAATTGTAAAATTGACTTACAATTTTACAGGTACCTGTAAATCTGATTTACAAGTTTACAATTCCCTGTAAAATTGGTTTACAAGTTTACAGAGAATTGTAAAACTGATTTACAAATCTACAATTTCTTGTAAAACGCTAGTTCTAAAGCATTTGCAATGAAAAATAGTTTTTACTTGATAAAATTCTTTTTATAAAGTCAATTCGTGAGGCAAAAAAGAAATTATTCATTTAAATATTATAAAATAATTTAAATTGTATAAAAAAAAACAAATATTGTGATTTTTTTTTCTTTGAAGGGGTTTCCTCACAGATGGCAGTGTGAAGAATAAATTTGATTTATAGAATGCCATCTGTGGGGAAAACCCTTCAAAAAAAATTCACAATATTTGTTTTTTTATATACAATCTAAATTATTTTATAATATTTAAATGAATAATTTCACTTTTGCCTCACGAATTGACTTTATAAAAAGAATTGTATCAAGTAAAAACTATTTTTCATTGCAAATGCTTTAAAACTAGCGTTTTACAAGAAATTGTAGATTTGTAAATCAGTTTTACAATTCTCTGTAAAATTGTAAATCAGTCTTACAAGTTTTTGTAAACTTGTAAACCAATTTTACAGGGAATTGTAAACTTGTAAATCAGATTTACAGGTACCTGTAAAATTGTAAGTCAATTTTACAATTTACAAGTTTACAATTATTGTAGCTGTACGGTGCAACAGGCCCCTGTTGTGGCAGTGGAATGCCCATCTAAAGAATTTTCTATCAAATCGGTATTTTGACTTTGGTATTAAATCGGTTTGCTTCTTCGAATTTTTTTGAAGAATAGCGCTTTATGGAAAGCACTTCGAATACACCTTCAGTGCCTCACATTTAACATCTTAAATAATTCCATGTCAATGCATATGGTTTGTTTTGATCCATCCTTTAATGGGCATTCTTGGCATTCTTGGCATTTTTAATTCAATCAAATGAACTGCAATCAACGATTCTTTGACGAAGAATAATTGAAGATGTTAAAAAAAATGATCGCTGCAAGTTTCTTGTGATTTTCTTCTCAAATTCTCATTTGTTCTAAAAATCAACTGAAAAAATACCGATATGGAGACAACATCAAACAAAATGTTCACTTTCAGCTTAACTAAAATGTTGCGCAAATTGTTTTCCTTCATTCCTTCTCTCTGTTCTTTCTTTCGAAATTTCATGCAATTTTCAAGAAAAATAAATAAAAATATTTCATTTGTTTTACAAAAAAAAAAACCAAAATTTGTTTTATTCTTCAACCGCATAAATACGATTTGATTTGAAAGTTTAGCACACACCATCGCGTTAGTACATGCGCTGGTACTAAATGGTGCGTTTACATCATCAACTGTCAAATGGAACATTATTGTTTAAGTCTATGCGTATGTGTGTGAAGGCGCAATTGTCACAGTTGTCAAAATCAAATGTGATCCAAACAAACTCAATTGCAAGCGGTAAATGTACGGCATTTCTCATCGGAAAATATTGATTCAAACGTTGAAATGGAGATCGAAGATAGAGATTTGGTCGGTGTTGAGTATCCGGGACGTGTTGTAAATCCCGACAATATGGTCAAAACATTGGGCGGCCTCACAAACATATCAAAAGTTGTAAGTTGCACTCGATTTAGCTTCGGCATTCGAACCTATTTTTTCCAACAGAACAATCTTTTAGTAAACAAATTCAATCATTCAATAGGAAAAAAACAATAAATTTTCCTTTTTTAAGGGAAATATTGACCTTAGAAGAAGAGTTTGAATAATTTTGTTGTAGAAAAATTAGAAAAAAAACTTCCAATGTCGTTCCTTTGCTTGAGCAATTTCGTGAAATATGTCTTTGTTTACAAAAATGTTTCATTGAAAGGTGTGCAACATGGACAAGAAGCGATTGGACTTGAAATTTCGACCAGATGATGTGTTTGCAAAGCCAATTTACGGTGATCTGAAACCAGCTTCGGGGCTTCTGTTGAAAGTTGTTTATCGGCGTCGAAGACATGATATACCCGGACCCAGTACTGAAGAAGACGACAGCAATGATGAACCAAAAATTGCTGTTCTCGGCGTTGTTCGGTCCATGTTCAAATTCGATGGTAAGAAATTTGGCTTAATTTTTGATTGCCAAACAAATTTAGAGAAGAAATTTTCTTTTTCATCTGCTGAATTGTTCGAAAAATTACATTTCTTCCATGCAATTGGAAAATAGGGAGAAAATGCTCGTGTTTCTCTTGTAAACAAACAAATCAGTTGACAATTCAAAACTAATGATGACTAAATCGTTGACAGGTTTATGTGACTATCAATATTTGCCGATTGCAACGAATCCGGAGACAAAAAAGACGGAATTTATTTACGATGAAATTATGCCAAATTGTCTGCTCTCACCCGAATGGCTCACGTAAGTGGAATTTCGATGCTTTTTCCAATTGAATACAAATTGAAATTCAATGTTTCCGATGTCATTTGGAACTATTTATTGCCTCTGTTCACCTATAGACATTCATCTTGGTTACCAAATTTGATTTTTCTTTTTTTTCTTCTCCAATTTCCCGTTTGGCAGTGACGAAGCAAGTAATCGTACCCCGTACTTCTTTCCACCATCCTCATTTACGCGTGTCGACACCGTGCAAGACAGTTTCTTCAAGAAGGATCGTTCAAAGGGCAACAAAGATCTGTCACCATTCGATTCGGCGGAATCGACCATCGTTGGCATGTCACGAAATCGACGCTTCAAACACGCTTGCTACATCCCATTCAGTCTGACCAATCCAATACCCGAGAAAGCACAGTTCCAAGCACTGAAAATGCTCAAATTCAAATTCATCACCAACGAACAGTTCAACATGATCAAAGAGTATTTGGATCGGCAGCCGATTTGGTTGCGCAGCTCATTGGCGTATGAAACGAAAATTCCACGACAAAAACTGAAAATCATTTTGCCATCGCTGGCTTATTACTTCACAACGGGACCATGGCGTTTGATGTGGGTACGATTTGGTTATGATCCACGCAAAGACTTCACCAGCCGATACTATCAAACGCTCGACTATCGAATTCGGTCGAACACTCTGAAGGAAAAGGTAACTGAGTCGAATTGAACAGGTTTCAGAGGCGAAATTGGACAAAACCAAAAAACTGATGAAATGAAGATGAATTTGGTTAGATAAAACTAACGTAGATAAAAAGTGAAACAACGAAATTTCGGTTTTTTTTGTTCCAAACTGTGGTTCTTTTCAAAAAGAATTTTCTTCAGAGAAAATCACTTTTTCCTTCATTTTTCATTTATTCACTCGTTTTTATTTGTCAACGTGTTCCAGAGCAAGTCATTTATTTATAAAAAAAATTCTCTCTCTTTCTCTCTCTCTCTCTCTCTCTCTCTCAATGCAGATTGCACGCAACAGAAAGACGAAAAGTGATTTGGAAAACACGTATCCATACTTTGAAGTTGATCGCCTGCCCGAAACTCGCCAATCATTCTACAGAGTAAGTTCTTGTTTTGCTGGTTTGCACAACCTGTTCTTTGCATTTATTCGATTTTTTCAATTTTTCTTCTTGTTGTTTTTTGATTCCAATCAATCGTTACTAGTTTCTTTTGTTTTGGTTTTATTTTATTTGTTTCAGTCGATTGTTTGCTTTATTCTGTTCTTGTCTTAGACTTTTTCCTTCATTTCACCTGAAATCCCCTTTTTTAGGACAAAAATTTCTTCTTCTTAGATTTCTTGAGCAATTTGTCATTAGAATAATTGATTTTAATGCTGAACAGTGTTCAGTGAACACCGTGAAGTCTCATAAAATTATCGAATGGGTCGAACATCTTATTGACATCATCGACGTCTGAATTTGATACAAAGCGGGACACAGAGACACATTGGTTTTGTGTTTGGCTCTTTATCATAACTTAAATCTAAAACGATTTTTCGAAAAAAAATATTCTCCTCTTTTCCAGTACTGTGATGTGCATGTGCCAAAGATTCAAGAGATGTTGGACAAAATTCCGACCCCATTATCGGGAGCGATATGCAATGAGAAAACGGGTTGGTTGCCACCGAATTTCGATGATAATTGCCGTGAAATTCTCACCGAAACGATAAACGAACTACTGGAATCACAACCGGCCGATTTTGATCCAAACACATTGGCTTCAACGTCACGAGCCGCCCTTCAAACGCAGAACAATGCCGAACAAGCGGAACATGAATGGGAATATGGTGTAAGTGGACAATGTCAATGTCTGGAGAGTGTCAGTGGTAGTGTCTAGACACAATCCATTGAATTGTATTTAAAAAAAATGTGATGATTTGTTTTCACCAAAAAAATGTCTTATTTCCATTGACCAGGAGGACGAAGAGGGTTATGACGAAGAGGAGCGTGATCCATCGTATGCTGATTATGAAGATGAAGAATGAAATGATCGAAAAGGCAAAATAAAATAACGACGAATTGATGTCAACAGTACAACAATGCCCATGTGTTTCCATTTTATTTGATTATATCTTGATTGGTTGGTTACTCTCTTTGAGTCTCAGTTCAAATGGCTGAGAATTTAGGCGGTAGCACTTATTTGTACAAAATATAAATAAAACCCTTAAGAAATAACAATTGATCTCTATTCAATTTTTCATTTTGTTTAGTTTAAAGAGTTCTCTAATATATATAACGGTAGATTTTCTGTCTTAAAAACGTCTAGCGCTATTTACACTGTTTTTAACCCCACCTTCTCCGGTTTGTTAGAACAAATAACATGTTAAGATTTTTCGGCCCAATACTAAAAACAGAAAAAAAAAAACAATCGACAAAACAGTATTTGCCGGCATGCGTGATCTGTCTCTATCGCGCATCTTCTTTGAGCCATTGCTTCGTTTTTTCCGTTTCCGTTTTCACAATCACGAACAGTTCCATGTCATTGCTTTTGAATTGGTTACTTAAGTAATTTATGACTTCGGCATCGTCACCGATGTACTCGGGTGCGTTCAGCTTTGAATCCAAATTCCAATACAATTTATCCACTTTGCGTATGGCAATCCAGTGTCGACGACGAAATGGCAGCACAATAAAACCAAACTTATATTCGGACGGCACATTCATTATAAAACCAAGTATGTTCGATGTATCGATGCAGAATGGATCTCTGTGTGGGGGCAGAATGAAAGAGAAAGAAAAACAAGCGATGAGAATATGGAAAACGGGAAATCATTTGCGATTTGGAAAGATGGTGATTTAAGTAAGTGATTAGATGGTGAAATAAATAATTAGACGAGTTTGACGAATTATTTTTGAAGAAGAAAAAATTCATATCGAATGAGACATTGTCATTTATTGGACATTTTTACACTTTTGAACATAGGCAAAAGGCCAAAAACAAAGGAACAACACGTGATATTGACACACTTCTTGAACACAATTTGATTGAACGTACAAATTGTTGCAAGAATAAAATTACAGACAAATTAAAATTCATGAATTCATCAATTTGGAAAAAAAAAATATTGAAAAAACCATTGAAATTAAATGAATTAACACCCATAGAAAGAAAGAACAACTTATGAGCTCTTCATCCATAACTGGGACTGAAAAGAACTTAGAACAAAATAGAGACAAATAAAGTTGCGAGCAAAAGTGATACAGCTCAGCATTTAGCGGAAAAGATGTTTTTTTGCATTTTTCTCGCTACTGGGAAAAGATAGCGACTAGGCGTCTTCGGCTTATTTGTAGTTCTTTTTATTTTCTACTATAATGCCAAAGACACCTAATCGTAATCTATATCCAGTAGCGTAAAAAATGCAAAAAAACGTCTTTTCCGCTCAATGCTGTGTTGTGTCACTTTTGCTCGCAACTTTATTTGTCTCTTTTTTGCTCCAACTTTTTTTCCGTCTCAGTTATGGATGAAGAGCTCATAAGTTGTTCTTTTGTTTCTATGGGTGTCAATTGGATTTGAGAAAAATGAAAACAAAAGACTGAATTTGGAAAGAAAAACAAATCAAATGAAATTGAAAATAATTCCAAAAACATCCACCAAAACATTTTTTCGAGATTTTCCCTTTGTTGACCAATTTATATCCGATTTTGTACTATTCAACGGTTACTTACTTGCGTTTATCAAACCAAATTGCTTCGTAGCCCCTCAACTGTAACGCACTCATGATAACATTCACATCATATTGTCCAAGACCGAGCATCGATTTATGGGGATTGATCCACTCGTCCGGTGATAATTGTACACAGATTTCATCCAGTTCGGATTTGGTGAATGTTTCCTTTGCTGTGCACAGAAATTGAGAGAGAAAAATTAGAATTTGAGTATTCAATTATTAAAGTAGGACGCAGCTCGCTAATGTAAGCTGTAGACTCTACGTATTAAAATCGTACCATCAATCTACTCTTTGAATTGATTATTGTCTATCATCAATAAAAATAGAAATGTCTATTATCGATAAATCAATAAATAAATTATAACAATGAGACTTCTAGTCATTGGGTCAAGTGGGTAAAATAAAGACACTTTTCAACAAAATTTTGAACAAAGGCAATTTGCCAACCGATTTCAAAGCTGAACAAATATTCCAAACAAAAAGAAAGAAAAAGAAACGAAAAGTAGAATCTCTAAATTTTGCTGTAAAAAAAAATTGATGTAATGTTTGAAAAAAGTGGCCTAAGAATGAAAATCTGCATGCACACAGTGCGAGAATGCCAAGAGACGACTCTTTTGCACCAAAACCATCTTTGTTCTCCATATTCGAATCTCCAACGAAAAAAAAAAACTGTTGTCGCAAGAAAAAACAAACAAATTTACCTTGAAATAGATTGTTGAGCGCATGCAAGGCGCATAGCTCTCGAATTTGGCGTTCGTGGTAAATTCCATGTGCTCCCATATTTGATTCGAGAAAAAACTTTGTGAGTTGACTAATTTGCGAATCAAAAGTCGAAGTTGTTGTATTTCTATGTTAAATGCAATTGTCCAATCCAGCATATAATCGATATAGACGAATATTATTGATAGCCCGTGTGCAGGAGCGAGTGAGCTCGCAGCAGCAAAACAAGTTTTTGACAATAGACGAATGATGGTTGTTTGATAAAACACTCAAAACTCGATTGATCCATTCAAAATATACAGGTAATGCAAGTCTAATTGTTCTATTCCGTTCACGCACAAATCAAATCGAACCAACCAAAAAATGCCTATTAAAATGCTGCTCCGTTGTCGCTGCAAAATCAAATGTTGTGGTGTGTTGTCATTTGATGATGTGTATCACACAGAATGCGGTGCGTTTTAGCTGCCCCGTTGTATATTTGATCGCACTAGTTGAAAGGCCAAAATTTTAATATGCGCGTAACACATATCTTCTCTTCACAAATGCATTGGTTTTGAGTTTTTTTTTGTGTCTTTATTGTTTGCTTCGAAAATATTATATTTATGAAAATCGCTTGTTGACAACTACTTTGCACTCGACCATAATGTTTTTTTTTTATTTCTCCGTTTTATTCGTTTGCTTCGGTGTTTGTTTACGAAAACAGTATACCCGTAAAGTTTAGCTGTGATTTAACATCGAAGTAGAAAGAAAAAATAAATAATAAATAGAATACACTACACACGAATTGGTTGGGTATTTACAGAAAAACACAAATACATACGATTTGCATGTGGCATGTGTGACGATGTGCATTCTGTCTCGTTTCGTTCTGGTTGTGTGCTAATCTATCCATCGCACAGTGGCTATTGTGCCAGCAGTCAATGTGTCGACATTCGATTGACGACGGAGAGAGTGTGTGTTTTGCCTCTGCTTTGCCTTCACGTTCGTTTTTTTTTTAATGTCAATTGTTATTGTTGAATTCGGTTGGAATCTGTCAATGTGAGTCATAGCATGTACCTAGTTTAGTTTAAATTTTGTCCCACAGATGCCACCATCGCAACCACGATAAATTTCTTTCGTTTTCATAACAATTTTTTTTCCTTTCATTCGTGTCTCCGATTCAATAGTCGAAGCGATATCAGTTTGCGATTCAAAATTTTTAACTTTTTTTTCTCAAATCGATCATGGCCCAATTAATTCCATTTGTACACACAAAGTCACGGTCAAATTTTCCGTCTTCTCTGATTCAAACGTTGCATTAGAGTTTGTGTTTCAGTTGATGTACCCACAGTGTGTGTATCTGTCAATGTTTCTGACAGCTTCATGACTCTCTCAAACGAAGATACATAACTTTTTTTTTTGGTTCAACATCTCTGCGATGTGCGTGTGTTTGCGTGTTTGAAACAATCGGCGACACGTCAAAACTCGATCCGAATTGTAGTGTTTTGAGTTGTGAACAACAGAGAGACTGAAGCGAGATAGACCCAATCGGAATAATACACTTTTATTTATTCGGTGAACTGATTTTAGTGAATGGTTTTGTTTTCCTTGCATCACGATTTCAATTTATCCAAAATATACCGCGTATCGTGCCGTATTTATCGACCATTCAAATTTTCCTTTCACATTTTTTTCTCATCGTGATTTTGTGTGCTGTGTTTGTGTGTGTGTGCAATTTGTCGTTCGTAGACAACTGGAACCAAAACAAATTATGCGCTAACAAAAATCGGATTCTAATCAGAAAATCGTGAGTTAGTTTTTCGGTTGGATAATCGACACGGACGGTGAAGCTACGGAAAAAATTAGAAAACAAGCCGAGAAAAGGAAGAGTAAAGCCTAAAGCCCAAAAGACAAATCGATTTAAGGCCTGAATGTGCATCTCTAATTGAATGTTGAACACAATCAATTTTGCGACGACACAAAAACATTTCGACATCGAATCACAACAGCAGCAACAGCAGCAGCGGCAGCGTCGGCGGCGGCTAAAACCGAACACAAAAGGTGAGAGTACTTGGCCAACTTGGTTTCGTCAGTGTCGCGCGTGCTATTCGTATGTTTATACTGGTGTTTTTTTTTCCTACTTCTGTGTGGCCATTTGTTTGTTTACGTTTCATCGCGCTTTTTTTACAACAAAAATGTATTTTTGATTCTTTGTTCGCCTTGTTCCGCTGTTTGACTGTGCAGTTTTTGTGCATGACAATCTTTTTGCTTGCATTCTTCGTTTCTTTCTTACATTTATTTTCAAGCGAAATCGTTCTATAGCCGTAGTTGTTATTCGGCTATAGTTCGATGTCGATGTAACGATAGACATCGATGTCGTCGTCCCAAAACGACTGATAAATCAAGGAGAGAGATACAGATTTTTCGTTGCTTTCGTATACACAGAGAGAAACATTCTATTTTCGTTTTTGTCGTCATTCTATTGTTGTTGTTACACTTGCATTGCCGTATTTTGTGTTTTCCATTCGCAGTTAGTGTGTGTGATTCCTGTCAAAAGTGTGCGATTTCCGTGACATCGCCGCATATTTTGACCCAAAATTGTTGTAAATTTCAGATTTTCAACATCAAATCTACTCATTCGAATGAAAAGACGAACAATTCCTCACAAAAAAGAAGCAGAGAAAAAAAACATTTGTGTTTACATAAAGCTAAATTTCATTGTGTACTCGAAAACAATACGCGTTTTTGTTGTCTCCATTCTCGTTACAGATTTTCATTCATTTCGGCCAAAAATCCGATCATATCACATGAAACAAAATCAAAAAAAAAAAAATACAAAATGTAAAACGCATAACTACACCGAGTGACAGTTGCGAAATAAACAACATATTATGTATAAGAACATGACGTATAGAATAGACTGATAGACAATATATAATAATTTTTTTGCCCGAATTTATGCAATCGCTGAGCGAAATGTGCAACATTTGACATACACTTTATCGCACGCATTGCTCTCTCACTACACTCTCACACACGAACGATAAAGCGGGAAAAAGAAACCGCGCGTAAGAATGTTGCGATGTACGATCATCGCTTTCAGTTTATTACGCTTCGATTCATTATTATTTCATCATTGCTAGTGCAGTTAGTTAGTCATTTGTTTGTCTCAGTTTGTTTTTTTTGACCAATGGCAACAATAAAAAGCGCAGTCAACATTTGGAAACAGCACATTTTTAATTGTGATTCCGTCTTGTTTACATCAACAGTGCACCATGGAAGTGGATGAGAAAATAGAGGAGAACAACAGGCAAATGCCGGATTTTTCCAGCATTCGAGGCAAAAAGGCACTCATCAGCCCAACACATGAACAATTCGATTTATTGAAGAAATTATTGGAAAATCGCATTATTGACAGCGGCGGCGAAACGATTTTCGAAATTGGCGCCGGCGACAACGAAGAAAATGGACTTGAACCAGATGAATATGATGCTTCCGTATGTAACAACTTTTTTGTGGGATTTTTTTTGGATTTCAGAAGTTTAAAATGATTGACTATTACCATGCTCTCAATTTGGAGATTTTGCAATTTTTTACACAGAAAATTCAAGTTATTGATCAAAATGATGTCGTCACTTTTCAATGAAATTCAATTATTTTTTTGAATTTATTTTTTAATTTTTCTCCGGAATTTCCTCCCTCTTCAAATTGAAAGTGGCAATTTAGAAATGAGATTTTTGTTTCTTTTTAATTTAAAGAAAAATCGTTCAAAAAATTGAATTTTTCTTTCAATTCGGAGTTTTCATCTTGAAATTTAATTTTTTTTCCCTTGAGCTTGTAATTTTCATAATGAAAATTTCATTTCTCAAAATTTGATTTTTTCTTTCCTTTTTTCGAATCGTTATCTTTTTCCATTAATTTTCCATGATTCAGTGTCGTTTGTTAAGCATCAACTACTTGTTTCAAGTTGAGACTTCCAACCAATCAATTTCATCCCATTAAATTTTTTCTCCAATTTCTCAATGTTTAGGTGGCAACATTTCAATCATTAGCGGCTACTCTGAATGCAGACTGTGTTGAATTGCGACAGCGTCCATCGGACAAGGGAATGACAGGACAATTTTTGATTCGAAGGCGGGTTGATCAAGATGATTTTATGGAAATTAGGTGAGTGATTGTACGTTTTTTTTTCGGCCAAATCTGACTAAAAATACTAAAAAAAAAACTTGGCGAAAATTTTCGTCAAATTTGAAATCTTCAACAAGCAAATTGGTTCTACTTGACTTCAGCTACGTTTTTAACAGTATATAAAAAATATTCTAAACATTTGAAAGAAGAAGAAGAAAAAGCAAGAACTTCATTCATTGAAGTCGTTTTTCCACATCTGCATCAATATTCACCCATACCAATTTCCCTTTACAGAGTTGCTGTAGTTGGTAATGTAGACGCTGGCAAATCAACGCTGTTAGGAGTGCTGACACACGGTGAATTGGACAATGGCAGAGGACATGCCAGACAGAGGCTATTTCGACACAAGCACGAAATGGAAAGCGGTCGAACCAGTTCGGTGGGCAACGATATTTTAGGATTCGACAGTGTGGGAAAGGTTGTTAATAAGCCAGATCATGGTAAATACTTTTGATTTTGATTCAGAAGCCCTGAATCAGAACATGAATTCAATTTATTTGTTCAAGCATTTAATAACACTGAACAAATCAACAACAGGTACACTGGATTGGGTGAAGATTTGCGAGAAATCCGCTAAAGTGATAACATTCATTGATTTGGCCGGTCATGAACGTTACTTGAAAACTACCGTGTTCGGAATGACGGGACACGCGCCAGATTTTGGAATGTTAATGGTATGTAAATATTAACTAGATTAAAAGGAGGATTCGGAGTAATTTTTTTTTTAGAAAATCTACCCGAATAGAAAATCTTGTGGAAAAGTGATTTTTTTGGATTAAAAGTGATTTTTTCCAGAAAAAAAATGTGTCAAGAAAAATATTTATTCTCCTTAAATGAGAATTTCTCCAACTGATGAAGTTAAAAATAAACAAAGTGTCGAAATACCGCGAAAAAGTGTCGAAATACTGCGTAAGAATGATGCAATTTAAATTGCAGAAGAATGAATAAAGAGAAAGAATGAGAGATGAGATAAGAATGCACTCTGAACTGGAAAGAATGACGCAATTCAGATGTAATATGAAACAAAAATATATTGCCGGAATACCAAAAGACAGCCAATGACATCTCTAAACCAACTTATTGAATCATCGAATATTTCGAAAAACTTTTTTTAATCGTGTGTGGCTTGAGTTGAATATAATCAACTTTACGGCGACACTAGCAGCTTCTCTGCACACACATCGTAGAAGAGAGTACAAAAATCATAGTATTTTGGCAAATGCATCGAGTAACCATTGCGAAACATCAATACGTTTTGGCTAACGCGTAGTACCGGCCCACAGAGAAGCTGTTAGCGTCGCCGTAAAGTTGATTGTATTCTAGAAAAGCCATACACGTTTGAAAAAAGTTGCCGAAAAATACAATGATGCAATGAGTTGGAATTGAGATGGCATTGACTGCTATGTGTCAAATGACTTACATTTGAAATGTATTGTGGCACTTTTCCTATGATATGAAATGATGATGCAATATTTGGTTTCTTTGTAGATCGGTGCAAATGCTGGTATTGTTGGAATGACAAAAGAGCATCTTGGTTTGGCGCTGGCATTGTCCGTGCCGGTGTTTGTGGTGGTCACCAAAATCGATATGTGTCCACCGAATATTCTCCAAGACAATTTAAAATTGTTGTGCAAAGTGTTAAAATCGCAAGGATGTCGTAAGGTGCCGGTGATGGTTCGAACATCGGACGATGTTGTGCTCAGTGCTACGAATTTCGTGTCGCAACGTTTGTGCCCAATCTTTCAAGTATCAAATGTTACGGGTGACAATTTGGATCTGTTGAAAATGTTCCTTAATTTGTTGACAACGCGAATGGGTGGAATGGAGAAATATCCGCCCGAATTTCAAATCGATGACACTTATTCAGTTCCGGGTGTTGGCACAGTGGTGAGTGAATATTAACCAAATTTTAACTTTTTCTTGGAATTTTGGAAATTTTCTTCAAAATATCGAAGGAAATTATTCCGAAAAATTAACCAGCTTCGTTTTAGAATTAAAAATTTCCGTTTTGAATTCTGAATTTTCTCCAAAAATTAAAAAAAATTCCCCTATTCGAATTCGCAGGTATCGGGTACAACGTTACAAGGTGTAATTCGACTGAATGACACATTGCTGCTGGGTCCAGATGCATTGGGACATTTCACACCGATTGCCATCAAATCGATCCATCGAAAGCGAATGAATGTCGGCGAGGTGCGTGGCGGTCAAACGGCCAGTTTTGCATTGAAGAAAATTAAACGGTCGCAAATTCGAAAAGGAATGGTACTCGTGAGCCCTGAACTCAATCCAAAAGCCTGCTGGGAATTTGATGGTGAAATCGTTGTACTGCATCATCCGACCACCATATCGTCACGATACCAAGCGATGGTGCATTGCGGCAGTATTCGTCAAACCGCATCGATATTGTCAATGTCAAAGGATATGCTAAGAACAGGTGATGATAAAAACAGTTCATTCATTCCAAGATGAGGAAATATTTCATTTAAATAAAACATTTCACACATTTTTGGCTTTGTCAAATGTTTTTGCCAATCATTTTGCAAGTGAGAAAAGTCAACAAAAACTCACTATTTTAGTTTGGCACAAGTAGAAATGCTAAAAAAATCGCTTTAATAACATTAACCGAATATCTTTCCACATCTCAAAACAGGTGACAAAGCCCGTGTTCGCTTCCGATTCATCAAGCATCCCGAATATTTGCGGCCACAGCAACGGTTGGTGTTCCGTGAGGGACGCACAAAAGCCGTGGGCAATGTCATCGAACCCATCACAAATACGGTGCATCGACCAAATGCCAATCAAAAGCCACAAAAAATGCACTCAAGAGGACAATCGAAGCAGCAACAGCATCAGCACCAGCAACAGCAGCAGCAGCAGCAGCAGCAGAACGAAAATCAAAACCAAAATCCAAATGCACAGCGTGAACCACCGGCTGGCGGCGGTGTCGGCACCATCGGCCAAACGGTTGGTGTAAAAGACGCAGATCTGGTCAAAAATACAGCACTACCAATGGACGGTGTCATCGCAATTGGCGTCGACAAACGTGACTTACACCATCGTGGCCGAACGAAACGACAAAATTAATCCAACAACCCAAACCCAACCACATATAATTTACCAAACTTTTTTTTCTCCTTCACTTTTCTTGATCTTTCTCATGAGTACGATTTTTTTTTTGCTTGGATTCAGTTGTTGCTCCGAAAGAAAGATGAAAAAAGAAAATGCTTTGTCATAGGCTAAACAAGCAACTTTGATCAATTCGATTGATACTGTAGGAAATGTCAGTCGCTGAACGACGAAGTTTTATGTTTATTCAAAGCATTCTTATGATTCGTCATTTTTTTTTGGTAGAAACAATTGCCCTTTCTACGCTCAACTATGATCTAAACACAAAATGTAAAATGTAAAAACTGTAGCAATTTTGACACTTCTTCATTTAAGAAAATCGTTCTTTTTCGTTTCGTTTGCATGATTCTTCTTTTTTTCATACGTTTTTTTTTTCATAAACCATACGAATGAATGTCGTAGCAAATTAAAAAAAAAGAAAGAAGAATAAGAGAAGTTTAGAAGAAAAGATGATATATTTTTCGAAGAAAGAAAATGAAATCAACTAAGATTTCATACCATTTTACCAAAATGTATAATGAGCAATGGATCCACACTTAATAAATACAATTTCATGATGAATTCAAATGTTTGCGAAGTTTTGATGAATTTTTTTCTGTTCGTTTATTCGTTTATCCGTTATATTGTCATTGAAATTCTAAATAAGAACTCGGAAAATGTATAAAAGGTGAGAAGAAATGTGTGAAGAATGGCAAACTATTGAGACGAAAGGTGGAAAGGCAACACCCACTGCAAGCGACTGAGGGAGAAAGAGATAGAGAGGCATCAATGCTAAAGACCAAGAGAGATAGAGAGAGAAGAAGCAGAGAGATAGAGAGAGACAGAAACTGTCAGATACACACAGAAAGATATCAATGCTAATAAAATGTAGTTGCAACGGAGCCACTCGAAGCCACTTACTGTGGCAAAATGAAATTGAATGTAAAGAATTGCATGGTAGAAATTAAATTAAGCATTTTCTTCACTTTTACTTTATCGTCGAAAAATTACGGTAATTAGAAGTTCCCTTTTAGCATGTTGCTCGTCGTCTTCATTGTCGTTGGCGTCTCGTGCAAAAGGTGAGTGGTTTTGCTGGTGCTTCTTCATTAGAAATGCAAATGTATGATTGAATCAATGTATGTGCACCGTTTAATGCAACACAATAACCATGCTAACAAGATGGTTCAGTGAATGAGAAATAAGAAATTGCACCCGGCCGTCGCTGTTTGTATAAACTGGGTGTTGATGGGACCGTAGACGAGCACGCATGTTCAAACTCAGGCCGCATTTATGTCGGAAATAAATAACTGTAACTTTTGAAATTTCTTATGAAGCAATCAAAATGTGTTTCAGATTCAATGAAGTGTCTGACAGAGTTTTTTGACTGTCAGTGCTCAAATGATTACACCCAACGGCAAAACAAACCGTTTAACGGACTGCAAAAATTCAATTTTTTGCTATGAAAAAATAGAAATTAATGGATTTCAATATTTTCCATGCATGAGACAGTGAGACACACGTGAGTTCCACATCGAGTGTCTGAAATTAAATGACAGCCTTAAGCTTTGAGTCGACTCTTCATTTGCTTTAAATGCCATAAAAGCTAAAGACTCAATTTGTCAATCGTTAATATTCTCATTCAAAACGATTCGATTACACTGCATTTCAATCAAAGTGCTGTATTTCGTTAGATAAACCGGTAATCTCGTCTTTCCCACTCTCAAGCTGATATACCGGTTCGTAATCCATTGTATCCGCGTCTTTCTTTATTTCTAGGGGATTTTAGTGCAAATTTCAAATTTTTCATTCATATTTCTTGAGCTTGAGTGAGAAGAAATTTGGATCAAATTACGGGACGTTTACACCTTCTTTTGAAAGCATCCATCAATTCACATTACCCATAGTGTGGACACAAACAATTGTTTTAACCAATAACAGTGAATATAGTTACTTTCAAAAGAAGGCGTTGAAGTCGTTGATTGCATCATAATCGTCAGTTTCGTGAATTCCGAGTAAAAAGAAAGTTAAAGATCCTTTGGAAAGGGCTACATTTTTGAAGGAAAAAATTAAAATGAATTGAACTTTGTCGAAAAAAAAAAGATTAATTAATCTTATTAAAATAAGGTAGGGAAAAATGAAAATTGCTATAAATTTTCAACGAACAATAGAGCTCAACAGTTCAATCGAAAGTGCATTGCAATATTGTGCAAAATATTTCTAGAAAAGAAGAACAAGAAATTGAGTACCAGGTAAAAATGAAGATAAAACGCTTCTTTTCTCACTAAAATCGATCTTAGGCAAAAAGTTGCATATTTACTTACCTTAATTAAATCTGCACTCTTTCGGTGTGAAGTTCGATTGAAATGAGGAAAACATTCTGTTCCACTTGAAAATCCGTAATTAAGAAATGTGGAAGGAAAAAACCATTCGCCATATAATTTCATTCGGAGCACAATACTATATTATTTATCAAAATCATAGATAAAACTGCCCCTGGGTGTCTTTGTTTCATTTGGTTGGCTGGTGTGTTGTTTGCATTCTGTCCCGTATGTTCTTCTGCGAAGTGTTTGAGATAAAGATTGGCAAGTGCACAGGTATGGAGTGGATGTAGCTAATAAATCGCTCGAAACCAACAGCGCAGCTCATTTATGGTGGAAGCGAATGCATTGATAGAAAAATGGTGTTTGCTGCGGTCATTGTATCGAGCTCACTGTGTAACACATATGCACGAACATGGTAAAAGCGATCCATTCGCGCAACTTGATTAATAACAGTTATTTTAATTATAACAATTACCTCTATCCTAGGCCATCACCATCGTTGGATATTGTGAAATGTGCACGATGCACATGTGTTTTCATCATCGCCTTCGTCGTCGTTGTCGTTCGAAATGGACTGGGCAATTGAATGCGTGTGACAATGGTAGAAAATTAAAGTCATTGCTTCGTTTCAAATTTAATTTCAACGTTTTAATTGAAGCATCAACACCAAAGCCCGTGGAATTTTTCGTTCTTTAAATTAATTTAGAAAATTTTCGAATACATTAGACTTAGGTGAAGTCAACTAATGAACAAATGACCAGAAAAAAATGATTAACTTTAAGTGGTCATAAAAAAAATTAACCATTCACCAACAAATTGGAGCAGAAATCGGTTCGCATTCCACGAGATCACATCAATCGAAATGAAAACTCATCACAATGCGCTCATTTCTGGCTTCAATTTTTCTTTTTCATCAAAGTGTCGAATAAAATATTTGAAACAAATGAGAGCGAGGGAAGGAGAAGGAGAAGGTAGTACACAGAGAGAGAGAGAAGGGCAGAGAAAGAGACAAGGAGAGAACGAGAGAGAAAAACCGAGAGAAGAAGTCAATTCGCAATTTATCAAACGGTTTTTTATTTTCCCCGGCGAATTTTGTTGCAGGTTAGAAAAACAATTAACACGAATGAATTAAATAATTATGAATTGTTTGCGGAGAAAGAAAAATGCCAAGGTGCAATCGGTAAAAATGAAGAAAAGTGAGGAGCGTCTCATTTCGTAGTGCGAGCGAGCGAAAAAAAAACCGAGTTAAAACATGTTAAAACGATTGCTACTTTTTATCTCGCGTCAGTCAACAAACAAATGATACCGTTACCAAATGTGCGATTCTTTCTTCGGTGCGAATTAAAAACGTGTTTTCAACTTCTTCTTTTTTCTTCGTTTGCACTGAGCTCGGTCTCTCCATGTGCTAGAGTGTGTGGCATGCATTTTCATATGAGGAGAGACTCACGCGCGCTTCTCTATCCAACTTATGAATTGTTTCAAAGTAAACACAAACAAACGATCTTTTTATTTCTGTTCTTGTTATTTCGTTCAGCAAATAAAACTCTCATTTAAATTCCAAATATGAACTTCAAACCGAAACGGTAATTATGTTTGCATCGACCGACATGACAGCTCGGGCTGGCAATCAAACCGTACAAATTTACTATCAAAATGATAATTGTTAAAGTGGTTTTACTGCAGCAACGAACGTTTTCTCGTAGCTTTTCATATAAATAACATTCTTGAATTGAGAAACACAACAAAATGTACCGTTTTTTTGCCACTTTGTACAATCAAATACTGCATTTTTAATTTGATACACATTAGAGCTCTCTAGAGGAAAATACTTTCTTATCACATTTCGGAATTAGAATTTTAGAACATCGCTAGTTAACGACGATATAAAAGTTTCTATGGAGATTCAACAATTGGTACGAAAAGGCTGGCATGAAATGCAGTTAGAATTAACACCATTTCACAGAGAAAAACATTTTGAGAAGCGAAATTGGCTCAAAAACATAGGACAATTTCTTAGTGCTAACTTTTTTTTTCACACTTAAAATGATTTAATCCAAACGAGTTGAAGCCTTTTTATTGCAGTAGCTTTGCATATTCAATTTACGGTCGATTTATAGTATGAATTTCATACATTTATAATGTTGCATCGTATGATAAAATTGAACTAACGGTTATCCATCATTCAAAATTTCAAATTGTTGGCGAGTTGAATCGACGCAACGGTTTGTGTTTTTTTAGTAGTGAGCGATATGAAATAGGTTGTGTATATTCCCTTGGTGTATCTTCAGCAAGAGGAAATAGCCCATTGGCACCTTCAAATTGTTTTAAAGCGACATACACAAGGCAAGAACCCAACTAATTGGATCTTTTTCTGTAAGTTATACAGATAAAAATTTTGAACAAAATAGGAGACAAATGAATTTGCAAGCAAAAATTACACGTGCCATTGAGCATCATGGTTCAGCATTGAGCGGAAGAAGAGATTTTTGTATTTTTCTCGTTATTTATAAAGAAGTAACGTGAAAAATATTGTAAAGAAAAGAGATAATAGGTACATTCGGAATTATTTCAGATTATCAACAGAACTTCAAATAAGCTAAAGCCACCAAATCGCTATCTATTTCCAGTAGTGAGAAAAATGGAATAAAACGTCTCTTCCTGTCAATGCTGAGCTGTGCCATATTCGCTCGCAAATTTGTTTCTTTTTTGCTCAAAGTTTAATCTGTCTCACTCACAGAAAGCTAGAAGCTAAAATTTCAACCGCCGCAAAGGCAAAACGGATATTTTTTTTTACATTTTCATGGATTTGACCAAATTTTTTACCTTTCGCGGACCAAATTTCAACTTCTAGTTTTTTGTGAGCAGTTTTTGAGTTAGTTTTTATAAGTATCCAATAGATACTATCTATCTCTTACTTCCACCCCATCAAATGAAATTTTTTTTATACCAATAAAAACTGATCTTTATCACCTCTATCAAGTTTTAGATTCATTAATAAATTAATTTTTGATAATTATCAAAAAGAAATTAAAAAAGCACACGCCTCAACTTATCATTACACAAAAGTTATAAATTTATTGTGAAACACATAGAAAAATCTTATTTTAATCTTTCTTCAAACTGATTTCTCTTGCGAAAGAAATTGAAAAATAGAAAATAAGAAGAATTTACTTGATGTATTATCTTGTTTTATATGTTCAACATCATTGGCCGTTCACTTATCATTTCATGTGGAATACTGACCTCAGGAACCAAATTATTCGATTTTAATTGACCGAAAATTTTGAATAAACCATAGCAATAGAAAAAAATGCTCGATATGAATGCAATGCCTGCAATTATCAGGTATAAGCTATTGTGGCATTCTCGAGTTGATTTAGCACCGTTGTCCTTCATGTCATTTCCGTGTAATTGAATGTCCTGTGTAGGTCCTTCTGTGGCTTCATGTCCTTCTGTGGCTTCATCTCCTTCCGTTACATTATCATGATTCTGAAGTTCCATCACTTCATCCCGAGATTTGCATTTGATGCCTTGAACATGCGTGTCGCCGGTTTTAATCGTTTCTGGTGCAACTGGAATGTGAAGTTTTTCCGAGCTGATTGATTTCATGAATTGCAGTAAATAAGAGCAGTTGAAATTATTTCCTCTAATATCGAACACATGTAATTGCGGAAAAAGTTCACTTGCGAATCCATGCAGGTCCTTCAGTCGATTTCCATTCAAATGGAGTGATTCTAAATCGGGAAGAATGAGCTCAAACATCTTAAAATCCAATTTTTTCAAATAATTTTCGGATAAATCCAGTGAAACCAATTTTTGCTGATGTGAAAACGTTGCCAATGGAATGGCGGATAAATGAGTTTGTCTCAAATTCAGGTATTCCAGATACGGTACTTTGGCAAATGCTCCAATGTTTAAATTAGCCAGTGGATTGAATGCCAAATTAAGGTGTTTTAATTTGGCAATTTTTGTGAATGTTCTTTCCAAATTTGATATGTTATTGTTGGACAAATCCAATATCATCAAATTCATGGGTAATGCACTAAAATCAAATTCATTGATTTTATTATGCGATAAATTCAATTCCTTTAAATTGATCAAATCGACAAACATGTATTCGTCAAGTTTTGTTATTGCATTTTGCGACAGATTTAGTGTTTCGAGGATTTTTGCATCTTTGAAAGCGAAAGTGTCAACACTTTTGATATTATTACATGCAAAATCAGCAACTTCTAGATTTTTAGCGGCAAAAAATACACCTGATTGTATTTCGGATAGTTGATTATTTGCAACGAATAAATTTGTTAAAATTTTTGCTCCCGAAAATGTACCGATTTGCAGTGTTTCCAGTTCGATGTCCGAAATATTGAATGTATGTATGTTCGGGAATTTCGCGAAAAAATCTATGTGAATCTGATTGAAACGACAGTTTTCGAATTTTATTGTGCCCGGATAGAAAGCATATTCACTGTGGTTTACTGGATGATATGAACAGTGAAATTTATCTTGAAGAAAAATGTCTTGTTCATGGTCAACTTCGTTGCACTTGAATGTCAACCAATCGGTTCCAGGCTTTCTTTCCAATATACGTGCATATACACAGTCACTGATATGCTCAAATTTGGAATCGCAAGCTCCAAATTTTGTGAAATAAATAATGAACAGCAGATAATAAACTGATGCTAACTCCATGATTTTGAATGGACGACTAAATGCTTCTCTTTTAGTATGAACTAAATGTACACTTGCATTGCAACATTTGTATTAAAAATCTGAGCAATTAATACAATCAGCAAACAAGTACACAATTCAAGACCATATCACTTAAAAAAAATACTCCCACACACAGTCTTTGTGCACTTTGTCACCAAGACTATTTCGTGGAAATACAATGTTGATAAAGAAATTTGAATGCTGAATCAGAACAACCATCTTTGGACAGCAAGTCAATACGACTCACCAACCAAAGTTTATACATACAGTTACTCACAAAATTGTTCAATGTGTCCAAAACGCATATTTTCTATATCGCATGGGGCAGATATGGCAATATTATCGTGTGATACTTGCTTACTTGCGTCTAATATTCATCATATTTCATCAAAAAAGAAATATTCGGCTACATCTATTCGTAATGCTCAATTTTATGTTACAAAATATCGCTGATAACATTTGATGCTGTCGTTTTTACAATCTAAGGAATTCCCGTTCATTTCGTCTATTCCACAGTTCTCTGTTGAGTCACGCTTTAATCATTTCCTTTTTCAATTCTACAGCATCAAAATAAGAAACATTTTCGTTAGTTTTATCAGAAAATGATTTCATTTTAGTTATCAACAACGAAAAATTTCGAAGAAAACAACGAAAATCATTTCGATTGGTATAAAATTTAAAAAATTGATTGGAAATGATTTTCGTTGTTTTCTTCGAAATTTTTACAAACCTCCCATACAAACTTTTCGACATTTTGACTAAAATTACCGATTTTTGGACAATTTTGTATGGGAGGTACCCGTTAATCGATTCCGATTGGCTTCAAACTTTCTGAGGTTTCATTTTTTGGAGAAAAAATTGGATTCTCAAAGTTTCATGTTGATCGCATTTGCAGAAGTTTGATTTTTTGTCCTCAATTTTTGTCGAAATTTTCTTGGAAAAAATTGAGGGCCAAAAATCAAACTTCTGCAAATGCGATCAACATTAAACTTTCAGAATCTTATTTTTTCTCCAAAAAATGAAACCTCAGAAAGTTCAAAGCCAATGTGGTACGGTTTACGGGTACCTCTCATACAGAATTGTCGAAGTTTTAGTTAAAGTGACCAATTTTTTACTTTATTTTCATTACTATATTTTCACTGCCTTTATTTCAAGAAAATTCACAAAAAATAACCAAAAATACCTACGGACAACGCAGGCCAACGGTACGGAAAAGTTCGGGATTACCAATGTAATTCTTTTTATTTTGTAACATAAAATTGAGCATTACGAATAGATGTAGCCGAATATTTCTTTTTTGACGAAATATGATGAATATTAGACGCACGTAAGCAAGTATCACACGATAATATTGCCATATCTGCTCCATGCGATATAAAAAATATGCTTTTTGGACACATTGAACAATTTTGTGAGTAACTGTATGTTTAATTATATATTTCAATGGCAATGAGGCAACTCAGTAAAATATACTGTAACAAACACAATCTTTTTTTTTAGGATGTTTTTTGGGTTTTTGAGGACATTTTTAGGTTTTTTAAGATGTTTTTTGTACTATTTTTCGGACGAAATTAGGGTCTTTTAGGTCGATTTTTGTAGTTTCTTAGGACGATTTTTGTATTTTGTCAGGACGATTTTTGTGATATTTAGGATGATTTTCGTAATTTATAGGACGATTTTTGGGTTTTTTTTAGGACGTTTTTCGTTTCACCCATGTAATACGGACCAAATTTATCAGTGATCAAACAGTTAAGAATAACAATTATCATGTTTATACAGACCCTTGGAGAACTTTTGAAATACACAAGAAAATCATGGTCAAAAGAACCAGAGTGAAACAAAATTAGAGTCGTATTTGCAAACTCAGATTTTAAATGGCCTTTTTTGCACACGAAGGATTTTGATGTTGCTTTTGCAAGCATTTCATTGAAATGACTTCAATAAGGTCTGTAATACAAATTCTGTATTTTTGGATAAAAAAAATGTGGTTCAATTTTATGGAGTATGCTTCGTTTTCATCTCTGGTTTCATTAACTGCAATTCAGTTTTGAAAACGTATTAAAGACGTAAGCTTTTTTTTCATGATATTCTTCAGTTAACAAGCAAGGAACGTTATTTTGAGCATATTTAGCAAAAATAATGACAAACTCAGAACGTTAGAATATCGTCTTCCATTTGGTGTCAAAACAAATTTCCGAGAACATTGCTTGATTGCGCATATTAACATTTGTTTGTTTTACATTCTTAGTGACATTCTTGCATATCTGTTTGTTTTGCAAATCATGTAAACTCAACTTGTATACATGTATTGAACGGAGTAGCCATGCAGGAGAACGAATGCGCCCAAAAAAAATTAGTTCAACTTGTACTGTCATTGAAATAACTCGTCGTTGAAGTGTTGTGAACGGTTTAATCTATCAGAAAAATGCTTCGAAATATATTATGGAAAAAATCACCACAGACCGATTTGTACGTTGATATTTTTGCATTTCAACTAAAAATAATAACTTTGCGGGATGTAGAATGTGCATTTGATTCAAATGATCCGATTGAAAAAAGCAATTCGTTGGCCACCGTTTGCCGTGAAAATGGAAAAAGAAGTTTTTCTTCGGGCGATTACGTGAAAGCAATGCAAGAATTCAACAATTGTTTGCGTAAAGCTGAAATTGGGTCTGACGAAATAGGTTTAGCTTATGCAAATCGATCAGCATGCTTCTTTAAAATGGGCATGCTTCAAGAGTGTTTGATGGACATCGAAATGGCGAAAAAATTCAACTATCCATCACATTTGATGCACGCATTGAACGCACGTGTTTCAAAGTGTAAACGTCTATTGGACGAAGGACAAATCAACGCAAATCTATGTAAAGTTCGAGAGCCAGTATTAAGTTTTAACGAGCATGAAGAATATCCCGGTGTCGCTGATTGTTTGGAAATCCGACAAAACGATAAATTCGGTCGACACATCATCACCACGTGCGATCTCCAAATAGGTCAGACGATTTTGGTGGAGGAACCATTTTCGATTGCGAGAGACTCAAGAGTAGACTGTGATCGTTGCCTTGGCTGTTTTAAATATGCCCAGAATTTCATCGCATGCAACAATTGCGTGGGCCGTTGCTTGCATTGCAATGAAGATTGCATGACCAATTCATTTCATCACATTGTTTGCAACAGTCTAATCGCTGAGGAGTATGAAGAAAAAATTGAATTAATTGTAAAAACTATTTTCAGTGCAATTGTGGCATTTTCTGATATCGATCGCTTGATGCATACGGTCGAATTACTACTAGATGGTAAAGGCACATCGGACTTAACGAATGCCGTACAAAGGAAATTTTGTATGCTATTCCAATTGGCTAACCAACAAAAAAAACACTTTCTGATTAGCTGCTAATGGTTTCGTTGCCATTACAAAGTCTTCTGATTTCGAAAATATGTTTACATTCGACAAACATCGTCGCTTTTTACAGCATTTAATTCTACATTTTGTCCACGTGGTTGTGAATCAAGTCAGTTTGAATGAATACGTAAAATTAGAGACCGGATCGCGAATGGATTTTGGCTTCTTCCTCCCGTATGCGCACGGAATGTATCCATTTGGATGTTACATGAATCATTCGTGCCTTCCAAACGTCTGCAGTATGTCAGTTGATAATCGTCTCATCTGTAAAGTGATTCGACCCATTAAAAAAGGCCAACAGATTTTTCGCTCCTATCTGTAAGTATTTTTTTGTTCTTTCTCGAATGAAAATGACGTTTTCAAGGATGAAATTTCAAAGAATTCTTTTCAACGATTATTATGCAGGAATCCGAGTAATCTGAATTATATAAATCCCCTTACTGATCGTAAATTGGATGTAGAGAAACAATTGCATATGAAATGTGAATGTAACCTGTGTTCGGGTGATGCTTGGACGATGCTTCATGACAAGAGCCTCAAACAAAGCCCATTCTGGAAAGATGCTACAGCAGCAGCCAATATGACGGAGAAAGCATTTCGAGCTCTATCCAATGAAACGAAGGAGTATTATGAAAATAGAACAATTAAATTCCTGGAGATGTATGACCGATTTCATCCACTCAACGACACCTTGTGCGTACAATGGGCTCTTATTGTCATGTGGAACGTATTAGCAACACACTTTTGAACTGTCAACATTTTGCTTCTTTTTTTTTATTATCAAAAAAAAAATTATCAACAAATATCATATAGATGTGAAAATTCTTAGGTTTTCTTAAATAAGAATGAATATTCATACATAAAAATAATGCTATAGTAGTTTTCCATATACTAAGATTTGATGACCCATTTTCATGATAAGATTCTGACCGATATTTCCTTCTGATAAACATATCCATTTTATCCAATGGAATATTTACTTGGTTGTGTTCCTATTTGCTACTTCTGATGAACCCTCACTAGAAATCAACTCAGCAAAAACAAATTCATAAATATTACAAATTGTTAAATCAATGTAAACTGATGCGAACGCAATGTGAAAAAAAAGATAAATAGAAGATGAGAAAAATCGAGAAAAAAAATCAACAGAAAAACAGAAGGAAAAAGAAATCAAATTAAGAAAAAATCGATGAGTGAAAAAACCTTGGTCCAATTTTATTTCAATTGATAACATCAAACACCCACCCGTATTGCAACATTTTCAAGTTCACAAAATAAAATAAATGACATTTACTTGATTTTTAGTTATTACAATTTTTATTATTTATTTTAATTTCGATTAACTTGATTTGTCAAAAAACCACAATCAATACTCCGACAATATTCAAAGCTCATGAACATTGAGCATGGGATGCATTCGGTTATGCCATACTCAGGAGCATGCCAAGGTACTGTATAAATATATGAATAACAAAAATGATACTAGGATTCATTCCTCCAGGTAATTTAATTAAACTTCAATGAAGTTATTTAGCCATCAACTATATTTCCGTATGTAAATGAGTCAAAATTTAACTGTCCAAATCAAAGCTGCAGAATTTGTTTTCAAGTTTAAATTAATTTCCCTTTCTTTTTTTTTGTTAGCCTAATTCAGTCTTGTAGCGTTCGAAAAAATGTGTGCTACTTCTTCATTTTCGAACTATAATTCCAACGGTTTGTTTGATTTAATGATTGAAAAAGGAAATTGCAATGGATTTAAAACGGGAAATTGCAAATCATTAATATTTTCATTAGCTCAAGATGATGATGATGGTTGTAGATTTAATCACACAGATGAAAGATGATTTAGATTGGATTTGAGAACCATTTTATGTGTTGAACATAAAAAGTGGTGCATAAAAACATTTTGCCTTAATTTACTTTACTTGGTTGGTGGTCAATCGAAAACCATTTCACTTGAAAATGATTAAACAAAGCAATTTCTTTGAATGTTGAACTATTTTTCCACATTGCCATACTTCGTTCTAATAAAATCATTTTGTTGTGCTCATTTTGAGGCAATGAACTGAATAGTGAATGTTGAATTTTTTGAGTTTTGAATCTATTTACAGCATCCTCTTATTTCCTTCCCTGACATTTGTCAACGTTCTGAACAATAGAATGGAAATGACATGTCACCCAGTGCGAAATGTTCGAAATCGAAAACGTCGGACCGTGTGATTACGTGCAGTCTTGTAAGTGGAACTGTCTTTTTGATTGAAATGTCTTCATTCTTTTGTTTTCGCTTCAAAAACGATTTCGATAAGTTAGAAACAAGGAGCTAGCTTGAGATTCTGTTGAGAATGAGCCAAATGTTAAAAACACTAGAAACCAAATGAGCATTCAATAAATGTTCACCTTTCTATCATTTTCTCTCTTTTTATGATAGTTTTTCTTCTCTCTCTCTCTCTCCCTCTCTCCTTCTCTCCCTCTCACCCACTTTTTTCACTCGAAATTTTCAACTGTGCACGGTGATGTGATCAAAATGTGTCAAAAGCATTCACGCTGTGGAATGCAGTAATAAGGCATTTGATGAATGTAATAAAGAGAAAAGACGAGATGAAATCACAAATGACCTGAAGAGTTAATGATAAATGATGGTCGCTCGCTCGCATGGGATGAGATAGGATGATGTTTGTTGCGTTAGATGCGCGCGGTGTACGTGAGACGGCAATTTGCACGTTCGCCACTCAATGTGCATTGTCAAGTTTTCTATTCTAATGATTGTAACACACACACAAATATATCCAGTTTCATCGTCGTGTAGTTGTCCATTTGTAATCTTGTGTGATTTTATCTTGGCTCTATATCTTATCTGGCTGTCTTCAATGATTGGTCTGCATTTGACTTGGCCAATTTAGTAGCGATTTTAATGTTACGCGCAATTCATTTCATAATTGTAATGAAATCCAGCTATCGCTTTGGCTTATCGGTGATTTGACAGGCTTTTTTTCTGCTGTCACGACAAAACTAAACAGAAAATAGGCTCTCTATCAATTGAGCACTTTCAACGAGTTAGAAATACACTAAATTGTTTCATTTAAACCTTTTATGTCGCAAAAATTATCTTAAAAAACTCTTATTTTTTCATATAAGAGCGAGAAAAACGATGAAAAATTTATGGTAAATTTTGAAAAATGGACAAAAAAGGAAAACAACAATTTAAAAATGGAAAATGATCGAAAATAGCGAAAAAAAATTAAAAAACCGTTGAGAAAGAACGAGAAAGTTGAGAAAAATGGAAAAATCATCAAGAAAATGACAATCAAGAGAATTTTCAGCGCAGAAAAATTTCAATTTGATGGTTTTTCTTCACCACATTGAACAAAAAATCTAAAAATGTGAGAAAATAATTGAAAAATACAAGGAAATTGGAAGAAATTTAGCTCAATAAGAAACGAAGGCTGCGAATCTGTAATTTCTTTGTCAAAAAAAAAAACAAAAAAATTAGACGTATTTTCATTCAGTTTTGAATCCCTGTTAAAAAAAGAAGTAATTTGTTCAAATAAGCAATCAAAACAATTTTTGTCTAATTTCTCTGGTGATTCGAACAAAAATGAAATGCTTCCATTCTGCCTTATCATAAGATCTAACAGAACAAACAAAAATAAAAGATTGACTGCCGAACCTAGTATCATCTGCATGTAAAACGCTCCAAACGCATTGGTTATAGCTTGGGCACGTCGAATGATGGTCATCAGAAGAAGTGTTAGCATCAACATATTATTTACAAATAATTTTTTGTTGTTTGCATCTCTCCTCCTGATGAAATGATAATACACCGAAAGCATACATCGAAAATGATTTAAGTACACAATAGCACCGCAATTCAAACATGTTCATCACACCGGCGTCGTCGAAAACGACGACGACGACGACGACGACGACCACTGGAACCTAGCAACAAAATGCATTGTGTTTTCCAAGCAAATAAACAATCGCCGATGATGGCAAGAGAGAGCATACACAACGTAGTATGCTGGTCGTACAGCGTGCCGCTGTGGCGCGTACAGTGGATTTAATCACATTTCCAAGTCCACATGTATAGCGGCTTGATGTTGTTATTTTAAATGCAGACATGCAGCCAAAAACATGCATGGTTCTCTCTTCATTTGTTGATGAGTTCTTTTGCTACCGCACGCCATTCACTCTCTTTCTCTCCCTAGCCTCTCTTTGCCCGTTCCCTCTTTGTGTCGTTCTTTTCGTTGAGTTCCCTCATTTCGGACTGAAACTTTCGGTTGAAACGCATCGCGTACGGTTTTTGTGTGCGCCGCGTCATCGAATGTGCGCGCGAGACAGTTCGCGTTCGCCGTTTACACGCTCCGCTCTGTTTTGGTTTCTCTTCGGTTGCACTTGATTCTGTTGAATGGATTGGTGCGGCGTTCAGTTTGAATTGAGCCGTCGATGTGAGAACGTACGTTAAATTTTTTCTTTTTCGTTTGCCAATCGTCGCGTAGTAAAACTCGTTTCTCTTGTGCTATCATCGAGTTGTGTTTCGAATCGAAACTTTCGATGCACGCGATTTTTCATAACCATTGCATATTTCTGTTTTTGTCTCATTCGTCGATTTTGTTTAACAATTCATTCACAACATATAGACACATTTCGATTAAACTGAAGAGAATATTGTCGTTTTGGTCGTGCAATTAAATTCTTTGTTTGTTTGTTTTTTTTTGGGTTCGAACGAAAGACTCGTAACCAAAGCGAGAAATCCAAAAACAGAGAGACAAAAGGAATTAAACAACAGAATATCAAGTGTGAAGAAAAAGAAGAGAAAAAAAAGCACGAGAAAGGAATATATATTCAAGGTATAAACAATTGGGTATGCGTGGAACCGGTGCATGTACTCTTTCATTTCATTGTCTTGTTGCTCGAGTGGAAATGCGTTATTACATTTCGATTTCGAGTGTGTTTTGTAATTAAACTGTGTGAAACTAGTAACAAAAAATAATCCATCTAAAAAATACACGTACGAGGGGAATGAATAAACAAAGTTTGAAGCCTGATCAAATCAGCAAACCGATCAACAACATAAAACCAGCTAGAATAACAAGCGAAAATCCTGCAAACAAGTGACAAAAATATTCCCAGGAAAAAAAAAAACAAGCCACGAAAATACTACACAAAACCGAATCGAGTGACAAAAATCCTCCAAAATAAAATCGAATGACAAAAATCCACCCGAAAAAAACAACAAGTGACAAAAATCCATTGAGTGCAAAAGTGAATAACAATAACCGAATGGAAATTGTGTATGTGTCAAAACAAAAAATTGCCCAAAATTGAAGTGAAAGAAGAGAAAAAGAGCTAAAAGCAAAAAGTTTGTCAAGTGTTAACGGATTTTAAGGTGAAAATAATTTGGAATACATTGTTATTAAAGCAAACACAAGAGAACGAAAAACTCGGGGAAAAAAAGGAGGAAGAGAACGACGAATAAAAAACGGATTTTGAAAATCAATCAAAATTATAGGTATGTAATTGTTATGAATTCAATAAAAAAAACAAAAAAAATCGGTGCTTCAAACAGTGAACATGGCATTTGATACACTGAGAGTCTCAGACATGTGAGTCGTAATTGATTTGAGAGACGACCATTGCCATTTCAAAAACAAACCACCATTCAAAATGAAATAGAAAAAAAATAATCGTTCCGATGTGTACGAAGTACTTTTTTGTATATCTAAGCAGGTGTTTGATTACTAGAATTTCCTTTTCGTTCCGTTCCAATGCCGCAACTGTCTTGAGTCTTAAGACATTTGACAGGCGGCCGTTTCTTATTCTTTGTTTCTTTTTAACAGTCGCACATTTAATGTTTTCCGCAACTTTGGAACATTCGTTCAATGTACCGCAGCTCGATTTAAAGAGTATCTCTAAAGTTACGCTCAATATCAAAATGGCAAAGACGAGAAAAAACCACAAAGAATTTCACGTTCGAACAAGGTCCGAAAACGGACACGCCAATCAATAAATCGGTTGTAAATTCAATCGACGTTTGACGTTTCCAAAAAAAATTTCGCCGCACCGTACAAATTGTTTGCGCCGTGGAGGTGTTGGTCATCTGTTGATAGCAATGCTGTGTTTCGCATTGGACTGTTGATAGCAAATGCCGATCGCCATCCAAATGTCTTGAGAACGAACAACTGTCTTGAGTTAACATCACACAAATGATCAACGTCGCAAATGAATTTGCAAAAGACGCAGAAAAAAGTGAAAGAAAGAAAAATCGCGTAAAGATCGAAAATTAAATGAGAAAAATCAGCAAAGCGATCTCATCGAGAAATGAGCAGAAACGATTGGAATGCCAGAGTGGACGCATCATTTGTGTGACGTTGATCAATCAATAAAGTCACACACACACGCGGTGCATTAGTCGGTGCATTTGAAAAACGGCAATTGTATAAATGCGCTTCTTTTTTGCAACGCCATTTCAGGAACACACACGCGCGCGCGCGTTCACATTCTCGACCAAGTCAAGAACATTCGGATTGGTTCGATCAGACGTAGCGCGCGATTTTCGCGTTTTCCAATCGATTACCATCAAGTAAATTGAAGCATTAACGATCGGTCGACGAGAGAGAGAAGCCCTATGATTAATATCGGATATGCATCCATTTGAAAGAGAATTAGAGATAATGGAAAATCAACCACGAATAGAAAAAGTAGCGGAACCAGGCAAATCGAATGAAGCATTCGAATCGAATCGAACGAATGTATTCAAACCGAAAATAACCAGTATTGAAAAACACTGACTGGTGCGGCATCGTAGAGACCAGGAATATGAGAGAAAGATAGATAGAGTGGAAGAAAAAAGAATCAAAATTATCGAACACTAAAGTGAAATAGACGGTTGTTGATGCTGCCTTTTTTTCTACTACAAAATTTTATCGTTATTGATGGCTGCATAATAAATGCAGCATCTCTTGACTTACTAGAGCCTCCATCGCATGCGTACGAAAATGGAATGTTTTCTAGAAAAAAGAACAGCGACGATGACGACGACGCAGAAACGGCTGCGATGGCAGTGAAGAAAAATCTCATTGGCACGATAATAGCAAACAAAATCGCCCAAGAATTTATTATTTTAACATGCAAGCGGAGCCTCCAAACGAACAGCAAACTCGACGACGGTTGAGATAGCCAGCAGCAACGCTGAGTAAAAGAGAGACAGAGAGAGAGAGAGAGAGAGAGCGCTTGCACCATCGACCAAACATTATACACACACTCAAGACATCACCATCTCTCTCAAATCATAATAACAACAGAAAATATCGCTCGCTTTTCTCTCTCTCTCTCTCTCTCTCTCTCTCTTTCTCTCTCTCTTTCTCTCTCTCTCTCTCTCTCTCTCTCTCTCTCTCTCTCTTTCTTTCAACCTCACTCTTGCTCTTTCTCTGTTCGTTTAAATTACCTGTTTTGCGTTGTGAGGTGATTGTTTCTGCTCTTTTTTTTCCTTTCTGTGTTTTATTTTTCCAATGCATCGCGCGTTTCTGCTTCATTTTACTCGATTCGGTCGCATTTGCGATTATAGTTCTTCGTACGTACAATATTTCTTTTTTTTTCTCTCTCTTGTCTTCGATTAAACGTCTCTCTGTCGTGGCATAGACGTCCAACAGATGAACCGTAGAGTGAGTCTTTCTCTCGTTCTCGCTCGTTGGTTTCGCTTCATTTGTGGCCAACAGTTTTGAACTACGTATTATTATCATAGGCCTAGGCCATATTTATACTTGTGCGCCGCTTCATCGCATGTGTGCATGCCACAATCGCAGCAAACGCAATTACCATTTTCATTCGCTCGCTCTCTCCTTCGGCTTGTTTTACTTCAGTCTCTGTTTAACGCTCTCGCTCTCCAGCTCTGTGATCAGTATTTTTATTTGATTTCAAGCAAAATTCCTGGCAAAAATGCAACAGACAATCACCATGCATGCCCCCCATTCAAATGCCATCTTCATATCCAAAAAAATAAAACAACATGCTCGACATCATCTTCCGCGTATATCATCCAGCAGCAACAGAACCAACAGTTACAACTACCCATACTTACAAACCGAATATTGTGGATTTTTTGATTTATTTAATTGCAACATATCGCAAGACAGATCATATTTCTGCACATTTCACGGAATCACAGTGCAAAAATCAAAATGCGCCGTTTTGACCTCACTTAATCATTTTTTATTGCCTTAACCAACATTTTTCTTTTCGGGAAAGAAAATTCTGTTGATATCGGTTTTTTCATACGGAAAAACCGTATTTATTCAACTACTTTTTTCTCATTGCGGGCCCAATTTGAACAACTCTCGCGTTGAAACCATTGAATGATTTTGAAACAAATATATGTTCGGTTTTCGATGTGAACTGTTTGCAATTCAATGCTGTTTCGATCACCTTTTTTTTTCTTCAAATCATCGAATTCCACCGAATAAACAAATCTATTGCTGAAATATATCGATTATCGAACTGCATTTGAAAAATAGGTGGTGGTTATACCGAACTCAAACGAATAGCTCAAAAGACTTCAGACAGAAAAGTCTGAATTGATTTGCTCTGAAGCAGATAACTCTTGTATGAAGAAAAAAAACAAAACAGAGTCACAAGAACAATCAAATTGAATTTAGTCCAAAAAAAATCCTTGAAATTAAACAAACTTCATCAAGTTTCGTCGATTTATTTCGGTTTTATAGTCGATTACTAATCAATCATTCGACAATTTCGACTCGGTATATTCGTCGTTCGTCTACCTATTTTTTAAATGCAATTCGATAATCGATTCGATTCAATTCAATCCAATTCAATTTAACTCAATTCGATTTCTACATGTTTTTTGTATACTTTTAGTTCTTAAATATTTCCTTTGGAATGTGAAATGTAGAATCTTCTAACCAGAAATTGAAAAATTTCTTCCAAAACTCAACAAATTAAATAATTCACTTCCAAATCATTTTCAAACTCTCATTCTGCATTCTGCAATCCGAAGAGATTTTTTTTTTGCAATTTTTAGATCTGAGTTAAATTTGATGTGTTTTTCAGACTACTCCCTTCATATGTGCATCGATCGTTTGAGCATAAAAAATAGGAAAGAATTTCATCGATAAATAGAAAAGATAGATTCGAAAGAATTCGAATTCATTTAGAACGAATAATCTTGAGCTGAAGAGATATCTTGATTCGATCGAACATAGAAATGGATTTGAACCTAGAAAAAATGAATCTGAACCTAGAAATATGAAAAAAGTCAATCAATTAAATTATCAATGGAAAATAGAGAAAAAAATCAATCGAAGCTTATGTTAATGCGTCAATCGAATGTGGTCGATCCAAATGTGAGAAATGTCATTACGGTTTCACTCATGTGTGCAAAAATATGCGAGAATGGTAATAGGATTTGGAATTGTTCTTGTTCAATGGAAACAGCGCACAGCTCGATGCTGTGAGCAAAAAGCGAAAAAGATCTTATTATTCCGAGTCGTAATGATCGTTAAGAAAAAATATCCGTGCAAAAAGTGTTGTGCAGAGCGTGGAAAAATTAAGAGTATCGACGTTGATTTTATGTTGGAGAATATCAGATATAATTATAATTAGCTTTGGCAAAGTAATCCAGTTATGACTTGAGCATATATATCTGTATGCATTCTTTTAATTGAGAGCAAAACTTTCAAACCGATATTCGAAGACCATGTGTGTGTGTGTGTGCATGCATTCCTTGTGAGTGTGGTGCGAGTAAAGTGCTGCATTTTGGTTTTGAATGACTTAAAAGCATTTGCTTGATTGTAACAGCAGCGCAAGAAAAGAAAAATCAAGAGGTACACGGTGAACGAGGTAAAAAGAAATCAAATGTGGTTAGTATGGCGACGGTTGTGTTATTTGTTTCCAACATGTTGTTACTGTTGTGCAACTCGTTGGCTCATGCAGGATGTGTGTGCGCTCGCGTTGTAATGCATTCATTGTAGATGTAAGGTATTCCTTGTTGATTGAAGATCAAGTGGTAGCCATATAAGAAACAAAAAACAACAACAGCAGCAGCAGCAGCAACAAGAGAACCTCATAAAATGAGCGTGTGTGTAATTTTTACCTGTGGCACAATCGTATGCTATCCACTCACACACACACACATACTCAGAGCGAGAGCAGCGTACACACATGCACGTCGGGCTTCGGGTCTTCACGTAATTACGTTCGAATGTTACCATTTTCCTCTTGATTGCTACAAACTCCACCGTGTGTGTACCTTGTCTTTTATAGCTTGAATCTTATTCTTTTCTTCTGTATTATGTTTTTTTGTGTTCTTTTTTTTATCGTTTCGCGCGGAATGTTTTTCTTATTTGTATCTATCAAACATTTGAGCTGTCGGCGTGCAGGCAACAATGATCTTTCTCTCTCTCTCTCTCTCTCTCTCTCTCATTCTCATTCTTTAACTTACACCACGGTGAACAAAGAGCGACCAATAACAGAAGAAAAGAAGACAACAACAACACG